CACAGGAGGAGGATTTGGGGGGTCCAGAGGAGGGGGTCTCCTGTAGGGCTTTCCCTGGGTGCGGTGCGGGGACTCTGCAGGGGGCTGGGTGGGCAGTGAGGACTCAGTAACCCAGAAGCTGAGGAAAAAGGACTGGCACTCAGCTGGTGGTCTGGGATTTGGGGTGGTGATGGGGAAGATGACCGCTAGCCCTGCCAGAGGGAGAGGGACTGGCAGCTGTTCTGCGCAGCTGACCAACTGCCGCGAAGGGGAGAAGCGTTTGTGTGGCTGGGTGCTTCTGCTTCCTTGCCTTGCTAAGTTTTGCCACAGAGCAGATTTATGTTTCATTAACAGGTTGTCTACTTAGTGCCAGCTGCCCTTACCCTGCCTGTTGCTGTTAACCCTTCGATAACAGGTATGATGTTGGTGTGCAAAACAGAATCTCTGCTCAAATGTTGCCCTCAAGAGGTTTGTTTTTACTGAGCCACTGATAAAGATCAGGCCATGAGGAAACATGTCCTACTACCTCTTGAGGGCAAAAAGCTGCGGGACCTGCTTCTGCAGGAGCTCGCCGTTGGTTTAGTGATTGTGGTTGGACACACTGCAGGTGAACGGAGGAGCCCTCTGCGTAAAGGCCTGCCGCTGGGTTGGTCTCATGTTTGCACCCCAGTTGCAGCGCACAGCCTGGGAGCATGCTCTGAACCTGGCTCTGATGTTGACGGTAGTACATTAACTCTGTTTCCTTGTTGTAAATCTGTGGTTTTGCTTATCTACCTCCTAGAAGAGCAGTTGAGCTTTGCACCGTCCTTTGAAAGAGCTAAAGGTCTTCTTCAGTATCAAGTATTGCGGGTTCCTCACAAAGCGCATGGGTAGCCATGGGGACGGTCAGAGGCCTCAGTGCAGTGGCTGGGTTTCTGAGGGCATAAGCTAAGAAGGCTAAGGCCACACGTGTTGAGAGAATCAGTCAGATGAGACTTGGTCCAAGACTCCAGAAAATAGTTAATTTTTTGTGTTTTCATCCAGTAGAAATAATTTTAAAATAACATTATCTTGACTATGTCTTGTCTGCATGAATGCTTACTCTGAATAAACTAAAACCACATTTATGCCAAAAAATGAAAATCTTCAGGAGTGCATGCCGTTGTCACAAGTCACGTTGTTGCAGTCTCTCAGCATTCTGCCTACCTTAAGCATGTAAAGTGGCAGCATTCATAAATCGTAACCCATGAGGGCTGGTTGCATGTGGTTTTGAACTTTTCAGGGGAGGTTTATTTGTGTGATAGGTGTAGCTTCAACATAATGGCATTTGGCTGGTCAGGAGAATCTACATGTTAAACTCACAAGTGGGTTTTTGTTACTTGTGCCAAGACTTGTGGAAAATAAAGATTAAAATGTGCAGCACAACTATTGTATAACTGGACATTTATGTAAATTCACAGAGTGATATTTGCCATTCAGGTCTGTGTAAGACCCAGATTCTGCCTCTGCTGAGCTGCAGTAAGTTCAGCCAAATGGGGAATCGATTACAGGAATGGGTCACGCTGAATTTTGGCAGCCCATCATGTTTAATGCTTGCCTGGAGTGGTCAGTGTCCAGAAAAGACTGCTTTTAACTTTACAGTTTTTGCTGTTGACAGTGCTGACATAGCAAGAAGTGCCTGTGCCGTTTGCTCACCTCTGCCCCACAGCCCCTGGGAATGGACATGGAAAACCACAAGAATCTGTGGGCGCATTCTGATATTACACATTGCCTGTATTTCTCTGTCTAAAAACATCAGTCCCCAGGCAGAGGTGTCATCAGTGTTGCTCATCATCACAGGGAAAAGCTCAGAGAGTGTGAGGCAAGACACTCCTTGCAGTGTGGTGGTCTCTGGGTACCCTGACGGCTTTACTGGGAGCTGGGGCTCGCTCCCCTGGACCACTCTGCGGTCGTGCTGAGCATCTGGTTATGGCTGTAAGCTCTGGAAAGGTTGTTTCTTCCGCTAAAGAGACCTTTCATTTGTAACCCACCTTGTTGTGGTATATTAGGTTATGATTCGTGTTAAAAGAAATGGAGAAGAGCTGCTCTTATGCTGTTGTGCTGGAGAAAACTACAGCAGACGTGGCCCAGAAATCTCCCTTCTCAAGGACCCTTCTTGCAGTTTAGGAATGAAAGAAATGGGACAGTGAGGGGATTGTGTGAAAGAATTCACCCTCAAGATAGAAAGGATATTAGACTTGGTTGTAAAAAAATCAGAGACCAAAGATAAGGGCACTTGAATTGAGCAGTCTCATTAACACTACTGACTGAATTGTAATGTGTGTTGCAGGTTTTTTTTAAATGTCTGAAAGTATGTAATGATGTAACTTCCAGGAAAGGTGTGACAACACAAAACAACCTCTCTCCAGCAAACACAGTTGAAATGCGGAGTAGGAAAGAAAGGGCATGGTGATGTTCCTGTGCTGAGCGAGCGCCTTCCTGCGCACAGTGCAGTGCCTCCTCGGGCGGGATGGCATTGCTGTGTAACTGCACAGCATCGTACAGCATCGCAACTGAATCATACACCCAGGCCAATTTTAGCATTGGAAAACACACATATTAGGAGCTTCCCGTTAGTATTTACAATCCTTGTATGGTTGAAGACATTGTGAGTGAAAAGGCGCTTAAAGCAAAGGGTTGCTCTCACAACGACAGAGATGCCATGGGCCTGCCTTGGGTTGAGGACATGGTTAGATGCTAATCTGTGGAGTATTACCTGGGTGTATCCTCCCTTGCTTCTCCCTTTACAATTCATTCAATTGAGGTGCTTCAGGTAAAGGGCTGAGTGTTTCAGTTGAGAGACTGTGAAACTGAATTTCCCTTTCAGGCTATAGGACAAGGCTCCTCTGTTTAAAGAAGTTTTTGAATGATGTGATCGTATATTGTTTAACTGTGGATTTAATCTTATGCTAAACAAATTATATAAAAATATTAATGTAGTTGTTTTCGTAGGTACATTCTCCTTATTTCTCTATGAACTTTGATGTACGTACATTAACACAAATGGGTTTTGAGACAGCTTTGCTTCCCCCACCCCCTCCAGAGGGTATGAATTCATGTGCCAAACAGTGATGGAGAAGTCTGGGATTTCTCAAGCATCCCCTCTTCCCCCCCATGATTCCAGTTCTAAGTAACTACAATTTGCCAGCAGAAATCGGATGGAAGAAACAGCAAAGACAGGATGAGAGGATCAAAAACCCTGATGATAAGGGAAGGAACTGCTAATCAAAACGAGATGAGAATGCAACACCCGCAAGGCCACGAAATAAAGGAGACTCCTCGGACCCCTAAAGGACTCTTTAGCTAATTATAATAAGAAGCAGGGCTAGGCGGGTCTGGGAAATGAATATGAATGAATGTATTGCGAAACTTAATGGATATGCAACTTGTCGGGGAATAAATAGAGGGATAGGCTTTGTGGAAAGGCTCGCCTGTTGGTAGAGCGGATGCTCCCATCGCGCCCAGCGCTGCTTGCTTATTCTCCACCTATGAACAAAATAAAATCTTAACTTTTTTCTAGCCGCGGAAGTGGCTTCGTTGATAACGTGATTTTTTTTTCCATGCATGTTGAATGCTGGAGCCTGTTTTGTTTGCTGGAGAGAACAGGAAACTCTTTTCATTGAGGTGCTGCTGCCAAGAAGTTGCACCCCTAGGCAGGCAAGCCCCAAGCCCACAAGTGTTTATTTTCAACAGCACTTTTTAGCAGCTTTCTCTGGTCAAAAATATGATGGTATTTAATCCATCTTCCTGCCTAATATGTGTTTGCTGGAGGTATCTTTTTTTAGCGACTCAGTTGCTTTTGGATTTAAAGGGTGTACTTCATCCTACATTGCAGTTGCTGGGAGTCTATTGTTTTTCCTCAGATAATGGTGTTTGGAAGAGCCTCTGCCACCTTCATTCTGCTGGCTGTATTGTTGGGACCATTGCCTTGGCTTGCTCTTTGTTTGCATACGCTAAAGGAAACATTCTGCATGAGGAGGAAGGCAGGTAAGCTATGATTTTTATTTTCCCTTGCACAAATTCAGCATGCCAGACCATCTTCATCTCGTGGTCACCTTGCTAAGCTTTATTTGCTGGGCTGCTGCAGTGAGTGCTGTAGGTCCAGGGGAATCAAACCGAGGAGGAGGGACCATAGTGCTCCACACCAGCGATTTGTTGGACAAAAGAGCTAAATGGAGAGTGAACAGTCATGATTGCTTGCCTGATGGTGACAGTTGGATTTAATTGGGGGCAGTTCTGGCTTTCAAAGACCGGGATACAAGTACAGTGAAACAGCTTTGTGTTCTCTTACTGGAGCTGTAGGAATTAATATTTAAACACTCTTGACATGATACCATATGCATGTTTATCTGGCACAGACAGCTGAATCCTCTGAACTGCCAGGGACTGAGGGGGAAGGAGGATTTCTCACTTAGACATTCAGTTGCCTGAAGTAGGTGCTTGCTCAGTATTGAGGAGAAGCATTGGCAGCTACTGCTGCTGTTCATAGTCTGGAATACTGGGATGCTGCTTTGCTGCGCATTAATGGGGGAAATGTGCTGTGGAATGTAAGTTTAGCAGTGGAACAAAAAGTGGAAGCAGGAATTTCTGCAGCTGTATAGCTGGGCCACGTGTGTTTGTAGCTTTGTGGTGGGAGACCAAGTTACTCCATGTAAATACCTGTATAATTATGATCCTAGTAAAATATAGTGAACTCCTCCAAAAGGAGGCAGTGCAGACTTACACTACTGTTCTGGAGGCAAAAATTGTATTTTTTAAAAGTAAACATCTGCTTATTATTTTCTGATCTGTTTTTTGTTTGGCTTTTTAGAGAGTTGTTTGGTCTCGTGATTATTACAATATGGATGAGTCTTTGTCGCAGTTCAGCAAAGTAAGTCTTGTTTCTCTGCTCTCTTTAGGGAATTTAGAGTCTCGTTACAACTGCAGCCAGGTGTGCATGTTTTGTAGTAGTCGGATTTCAAGTAGCTCTGTTGCATTTGCCTCTTTATAGGAGTCCACTGGGTGGAGTTCGCTTGATTGCTGCGGTCCTGGTTGTCCTCTTCCCCTTTGTTTCATGGCTATACATTTATGCGAACAAAGAGATGCGAGCATCTTGGCCAAGGCACTGTAAAACGGTGATTTAATTCGGTGGGAGAAAGTATAGAATAAATATTCTGACCTTACTTGCCTTTACTTTTGGTTCTTAATTAAAGGTTAGTATCAGTTTGGCAAGACCCCAAAATATCTGGCTGCTTCCAGCAGTGCAGTTTGAGATTTGTTAAAAAAAATGAGGAACACTCAAATCTGAGTGGAGAATTTTTCTATGGAAACGGTGGTTCAGCTGGCTTCTTTATACATTTTCAAAGCACTGTTGATCCTAATGTGTTTTCTCACGGTATATTCATCATATCCTGGCATTTCTGGATCACTCTCTAACCACCTCGTACTTTGGGAAATCTGCTGTTCTGTAAGATAAAAGAAAAGTAAAGCAAACGTTTTGCTTCAATAAATGACTATTTACAGCCACAAAACTTGCAGATACCTGCCTGTATAGTCCGTTGAGAATAAAACTGAAAAATTGAGCAGTTGGCATTTCTGTTGCTACGCTAAAATAATGTGTAGAATATATCTGAAGAAATATTTTTTCTGATATCTTTAACTGAAAATTACTGATTTTACAGAGTAATAAATACTATTTTTCTAAAAAAAATTCAGTGAAAGCTTCCGTTATCTTTATTTTCTGCAAGATGCGTGCTCAAGACTGCCACCAGCAGACATGGTCACTGTCACAGCTCTGCTTGTCACAGAATTTCTGTTCCCAGAAAGCACAGTGATGGTAGGCGTGTTCCACAGCTACTAATCCTGGAGAAGGAAGCACAGGCAAATACACTGGTGTTGTGCTTTGTGTGGTGGGTTTGTTTGCAAGCAGGGGAGAGACAACATGAACTGACTGCACCCCCCATTCCCTGCCCCCCTGTGCTGCCGGGGGGAGAAGGTACAGAAACCAGGAAAAAAGCCTTTGGGCCTAGGAGGAAGGGAAGGGTGGGGGAGAAGTGCCTTTCTAAGATGTAGTTATTTTTCTCGTATCTCACTTTGTTTTTCATAGAATCATTAAGGTTGGAAAAGACCTAAGGATCATCAAGTCCAACACAACACCACCTAACTCACTAAACCATGTCCCTAAGCACCACATCTACACGTTTCTTGAACAGCTCCAGGGATGGTGACTCAACCACCTCCTTGGGTAGCCTGTTCCAATGTCTGACCATTCTTTCAGTGAAGAAATAGTTAATAAATTCAATATTTTTTTGTTTGTTTTCCCAAGTCATGTCGGTTTCTTGTCCCTGACCAGAAGTGGTGAGTGAACCCTCCCTGTCCTTGCCTCAGCCCAGGAGGTTTTTTAAACAAGAGGTTGTCAGGTGGCTTTTTTTAAAACTACAACAACTGGCCACACAAGCTGGCTGGGAGAGAGCCAAACCCGTCCAGATGCAGCACAGCAACACGCTTTAGATCCTTCCACATCGGGGCTTCTTTGCTCAGTCCTGCTGCAGGCTAATACAGCTGCGTACACGTAGATCCCAGGGGGTGTATCTACAGCATTACATGGTGCAGCATCAATGGTCTCCATTTTCCTCGGGCTTAGCCTTTTTTTGAAGATTACTTTAGTCTTTTAAAGCAATGTTAAGAAGACTGCATTAGGCTACAGGGTGGACTAATTCTGCCAGACATGAGACATTACTGACGATGATGTTAAAAAAAATAAATTGAAATGCAGCTGGACAGGTATAATTCTGCATGCTTTAATTTTGGCATATTAAAAAATGGTGGGTTTTTGGTAATATTCATAATACGGTTTGCTTTTTTTCACAGTAAGTAACAATCCAGTCAGGATTGGGTGTTTCAAGTCAACATTCTGCGTTCAAGTATATTTATTTCAAACATGGTTACTGGCCTTCTCTATTCTCCACAAATAAATTATGTCTGTTTTCTTACAGAAACATAATTTCTAAAATTCTGTATCCAAGAGAAAAATGTTTGAGTTAAAGCTATAGGGATCAACCATGCACATCTTTCTAGAAGCAAAATAATAAGCTGAATCCTCTGCTTTTTTGTCCAAGTACTTCCTGAAGAAGTGCAATTTGTATTTGCTTACCATTTTCAGAAATGCATAACTATGTCTGAAATTCTGCCCCTTCCCTTTAGTATCATTTTATCTTCATAGACATAAACAGTTCCAAAGGCATTGCTGTCTGGTGGAGTTTCAATAATCCCCTCCAAAGTCAGATGATGAACTCCATGGGAGTCTAAACAATAGCCACCATCATGCAGGTGCCCTGCAAAAAAGCAGACCACACACTGATGGGAGTGTATGACTGAAAGGGCATCTTTGTAATTCCAGGCAAGGCAAACTCCATCTGAAGCATCTGGATGAATGGGCAGATGACCTGCAATTGAGAGGAAAAGAAGCAGGAAAGTTACTTTAATGAAATACTAGGGCCTGAGCAGTGAGGCCCTGAATCAAAGTTGACCTCTAGATGAACCTCAATCTAATAATATATCTAGTATGTATAATATTGATCACATAGGCAGTGTATTACCTTATAAAAATATGCCAGTTTATAAAAGCTTTTGTTGTAACGCCTATAGAGCATTGCTGGAATGCTGGCTGTAAGATAATCGTTGTGTAACCACAGCCCCGCTTGTTAACAGCTATGCCTATCTCCACAGACAGACCTCTAGGTAAAAGAACGTAATAGGGTGGTGACGGGCTTTGCTGAGAGATACATAATCAAGATAACCAGATACCTTTACTTCTTAACTTTTTCCCGGGTTCTGGCCAAACGAGAGAAAAAGTTAACATGGAAAAAAAACTACACCAGATGTTTTTTCACAGTTTAAGATATAAAGTTGTTTATTTAACTGTATAAAAGCCGGGACTGTTTGCAGGGAAATTTGGAAGCCTCATCTATGCAGTGGATGCACTGTATAGGAATTTCCCAGTTGCTGGGAAGGGTTCTCCAAATCCTCGCTGCAACCAGGCTCCCCAGAGACCATGGATCTGGATGATGGTAACGTATTAACAGGGCAATTGGTGATGGATCTGTCTTAATCATTATCGCTAACTCTGTGTAGTAATGATTAGGTGCATTACCTTATTTTATGCTTGCTACAGTAGTTCACTTATTATTTTGCTGCTTTACCTTATCTTGCTTTAATTCATTTTCACTGTATTATTTTCCTCATCATTTTATCACTTTAAACATAAATAAGTTTACTTTTTTTAAATTTGGTGCCTGTGTCCTTTGTGCTAACCCCGTCGATTGGCAAAACATTTAAGCATAACCCAACTCTGCCTTAATTGCTGGTAAGTTCACACATCTAATTGTATACAGAAAGCTCATCTGAGCGTGAGATATGGTTGCTATCTCCTACTTCACAGGTTACATGTGTTCCTCAGTGGAGCTACAAAGTTGCTACATGTTTTCCTCAGCTAACATATGTTGCTACATAACTTTTTTTGCATATATTCCCATATATCCCCCATATCCACCTACCCATAACTACAACTTTTTCTTGGTTTTCATCAGAGAACTTGAGGACTTCATTGAACCAGTCCAGCTGCGCTTGGCTAAATCCTCCATTAAACTCTACAAACTGAGGTTCTTTGAGTCCTGCAATGAAGAAGAAGGTTAGGCATTTGTGCATATACCTCTTGTGGCTCCCCTATTTGCTTGCCTTATCTAAGTCTGCTTACTCACATGGTTTGCTCTTATACCATTTTTTTTTTTGTTTTGCATCTCTTGCATCATAACTCCAGCCTCCTTGGACAAACAAGAGAAAATTATTTTTTAGTGTTTTGGGGGGGTTTTGATCACGCACAGGATTTCCACTCCTGGGTGTCCCCCATCATGGGATGGGGTGGGCATCACTTGATGCTCTGCAATAGCCAGCCTTTTCTTCTGGTACCGCAGGGCACACAGCACAACACAAACCCATGCCAAAAGCACCAGAGCAGCATGACGGGTATGGGGGAGCATCTTTTGTGCCTGCCTAGAAACCCACTGACGGGCTCTCAGCTGCCAGCAAGGAGGTAGGCAGAAACAGGGCATGTGCCTCAGCCCCTGGGAATGAGATGTCAGCCCCAGGAACCATCTTATCGCTCCGGTAAGCAGAGGCTTGTGCTCCCTGACGAAGGTTCAAGCCGGGGGAGTACCTGTGGGGCTGTTGAGGTTGTCGTTGGGGTTCTTCTCCCGCAGCAGCTGCAGAGACTCCTGGTAGCGAGGGCTGTCTGGCTGCCTGCCCAGGATGCTCAGGTCGTAGGCGTCGAGCACAACGACACGGAAGCGTGCGGCCGGGCTGAAGTGATAGGCCTGGCAATCCCCGGCGGGCGAGAGGGCCGCGGCCCCGGCGGGACGG